ACGTCATAAAAAAACAATGTGTAAGGCAAGTGTGAAAAAAATTAGGTAAGTAATTACATACAACAAGCATTCGTCACTGGTATGAATTTGTCTGTGAATGCCTTCTGTGTCAAGATTGTACAATATCCAGTACGGCAATGAATGGACCAAGTAATATCAAAGCAAGCGCATATATGGCGGTCAGGAGATAGCGAAAATTGTAAAACGTAATGTTACTAAAATATAGGGAGTAGCATGCTTTGTAACATAAAATGTTGGATGGGACGGGTGGCACAGGGGGGAATTCGTTAGTTTCTGATGCTGTGGAGGTACATATCCCTGTACTGGTCAAGCTTTCTCTTAAATGAGTCCACGGATGAGGACATGACGACATCCACAGGTAGGGCGTTCCATGCCTTTACCACTCTGTGGCTGAAGAAGGAACTTCTTGCGTCCAGTCTCGCTCCTGTCACACGTAGTTTCAGTGGGTGTCCTCTCAAGCTAGTAGTGGTGGCCAGCTCAAAGAAGTCGCCGGATGCGAGGCAGCAGTCCTGACCCCGTAACATTCTAAACGTTTGAATTAAGTCGCCACTGAGTTGTCTGTAGTCCAGGGGAAAGAGGTTAAAATTTGAAAGTCTGGTTTCGTAAGGTAGGTTTTTATGACCTCTGACAAGCTTGGTTGCCCGTCGTTGGACTTTTTCGAGTGTGTTACGATCCTTTACAGTCCAGGGTCTCCAGGCCTGAACGGCAAATTCTAACTGTGGGCGCACAAACATCCCGAAGACCTTGCGGAAGCACTCTTCATCGAACTTGGCAAATGCCCGCTTAATGAGATATAAGCTGGACATTGCGGATTTCGCTGCTTTCAAGCAGTGGAATGATGGCTTTAGTGAAGATGTTATCCACACCCCTAGGTCTTTCTGAACCTCTACCAGTGGCAGCGGTGTGTGATTTAGATAGTACGTCTGCCGGTGCGCAGATCTGGTTCTGCCAATCCTCAGAATGTTGCATTTGGTAACATTAAATGGGAGGAGCCAGTAGCCTGACCATTTTTCGAGTCGGTCTAAGTTTGCCTGTAAATTTGCTTCATCGTCCTCGTTGCGGATGACGGTCCAAAGCTTTGTATCGCCAGCAAACATGGCAATCTTGCAGTCCAATCCATGGATACAGTCATCAACTAACTGTCTCAAAATTTTGGGCGGTGTATTGTCCGGACTGATGACTTTGCTCTTTCGGGATTCTGCAGTTCTCCTCCCACGACAAATGTGGGGAAGAGCATAAACTTCAGCACGGAACTAACATATACAACAGCGATGTTCGCACTGTGGATCCAAAAGCCAGTTTCCCTAGTGAATAATGAGAAAAAAACCGGCTCAAGTGCTCGGCTTCCGCCCCGTTTTGAATGACTTCTGCATTAATTTGTTGCGAATGAGTCTTTGTTTTCAAGTCGGCCATTATATGATGGAATGCAGTTTTGGGCTTATGTTCAGCCTGTCAGATAGCTCTGGATTCACCTTCCCCTGTGATGGCGTGTCCAGAGTGGGAATCACCACGGGAGCGAGAGTTTGACATGCCGGACGACCGAGCCGAATACTGATGAGGGTCAGCGGCAAACGCAACGGAGGCGGTTTAGAGGGCGTGCGTCAACATGGTCCGACTTCTCCTCTAGGGGTTGGCTAGGGATAATATTACTTTTGTCAAGAACATGATACAAGAACTGAAAAAATCGAAGAAGTCGGAATTTTTCTTGTGAGAAATCGTAAAAAGCGAAACCACACGCAGAGAGAGAGAAGAGTGTGGGTGGGCACGGCCATTTTGCGGCGACGTCCTAAGTTCTCTATAGATGTTTTTCCAATAAATGGAGAAAGTTTCCCACAGTGACGTTGTATGGTCACATTTACCGAGAAATGCACTGAAATGCACTTCGTCAGCATTAAATAAACCGTTAAAAAACAAAAGTTGTAAACAATTGTCTCCCTGGTTTCCTCCAAAGTCCGTCGGTGTCTTCAGAGTATGCGACAGAAAAAGGTCCAGTGAGAAGTCCCTTGGCCTACGACTAAATGAAATTGTGGCAACGTCAACTGCAAGATTTTTGTAGTCTATTTCAGGTGCGTTTTAATTCCCAGCTGAAAGAAAATCGTGATAACAAGATAATTCCGCGGCCAAAAAGGGAGCGACTCGTCAATTGAACTCGAAACGTCTAGTGGTCTATTTACCGCCAGGAAATTCCTGATTTTTTAAATTACTTCTATTTAACTTTATGCAAATGGATTCATATTCTAGGTAGCGGGTACGTGTTTGTTCAAATACCTAAATTTGCATATGCTATTAACCCAAAATCTACTTACTTTGACGGTCTTTGCGAATAAGCTGGCATCCCTGTATCGAAATATCTGTATCCGAGATTTCAGTTTTAATTCACTTCTCCATTATGGCAACAGGATCAAGGGTTCTTTATGAGATGAATGTATAGATTCTATCGATTTGTGGACGAGAATCTGAGCATTCATGTACAAACTTCTTAACTTAACCCGAGTAACTCGGGGATACTGGCGTCTGATCACATCATGGGATTGAATTGAAAAGTCTTCTGGAGTTGATCTAGACTGACTGGTGTCCGTTATGCCTAAAATGATAGAGTTATAGGCCCTCCCCAGAAAAATGGTCTCTGTGTATCTCTGATTCCTTCTTTAGTATTTTGAGATTGCTCTCGCCCAGTCTGAACCTTTTCAGGACATCCCCTTAAAATCTTCTCAATTTCCCCCGCCTGCCGGTGAAAAAAATCCCCCTGAAATAAACCTTTTGGTAGGTATTTCCGAGTGCGGTTTTCCCGTCAAGCAGTAGCTGTGCTTGTTCTTCATTTTCAAAGAATAGTTTGAACGTTCTTAGCTAGTCCAACTCATCATTAGGTTTTTTTCGGCCCATCCTGAAATCTATTAGTACGGTTAGTTTCTTTTCGCCTCCTAAGAGGGATTACAAATATTAAAGGAGTTTTTCCGTGCCATGGTGTATCCTGCCATGTTGGGTGTCGGAAGCAGATGATTTAATTTAATTTAATTTATTAAATGCCAGTTTACAGGCATTGTCAAGGGAAGCGATTAAACACAAATCCGACCAGCAGTGAAAAAAAACTCCTGAAGAATAAAAATATAGTTGATGGTGGTTCTATGGTTTGAAGGGTTCAGGAGGAAAAAACTGCTGGCGGTAGATTTTCGACCGTCAAGAAGGGGGGGGGAGGGGGTTGCACGGTATCGGAGATTATCGGATGTCAACTCCTTTCATGAAGTTGGGGATAGTCAAAGTATAGGCGTTGAGGAACAGCTGTTGAGACCGGCCATAGTGTTCAGAGACCAAAAACGCCATCGCTACGGTACAGTCGATCAGTGGATTCAGAACCCAAAATTTGAGGAAGATTTTCTGAGTGCAAAAATCGAGTAATAGTTCTCTTAAATAAAGGATAATTTTGCAGAGTTTTCACACTCATTGGTAGTTTAATCCAAATAGCAATTGCATTTACAGAATAGAACCGACGATATTTAACAGCACGTGCCAGAGGCAGAAATAAGTAGACCTCACAGTGACTGTTACGTCGTGGGTGGATATGATGTCTTGAAGAAGTGAGTGGGTTAACTGTGTGATTATGTAAGAGTTTAAATAGCAAAAATAGTCCCTTTTGTAATCTACGGAACCATAAGGGATCAAGGCCCGTAAGCCGGCAACGTTCTTGGTAAGACAAATGTCGATGTTCCGGGGTTAAAATTCTCTTGGTAAAAAAGTGTTGAACGGATTCTATTTTCTTCCGCTCAGAAGCACGCATGAGGCAAAATAAAAACGAACAGTATTCCAGACCAGGTCTAACGTACATAGATAAATAGATAATTTTTTATTAAAGACCCGTCGGGGTCCCATCAACGGCGCATTCTAATGTCCCTAGTTTTGAAGTTTCGGAGGATAAATCCAGTCGTTCTACGTGCTTTGGAGACTATCAAGGCACAGTGCTCCGAGAAATTGAGACTCTTGAAGTATGACTGAGCACATATGCCAAGGAAGAAAAAGGCGCCATGTACGGCACCACTGGGCGAAAGCCTGTAGATCGCTCTTTAGGAGCTCAAGCACGATGTCACGATCTGCCGGCTTATATCGATATGCAACTTTAAGATCATCGGCATACATGAAAGGCTTACCATTCTGAAATAAATCGGGTACATCATTAACGAAAAGGCAAAATAAAAGCGGGCCGAGTACACTACCCTGAATGACTCCACTCCTCACACCTGTGGGGTTGGAGATGATATTGGAAATCTTAATTCGTTGTGTAC